CATGATCAATGATCTCCAGTTACAATGATTATACCTAAGGGCAATAACTCTAACAAGACTACAATCATGGAAATCGTTAACATGCTTGTTCGCAGTATAATATTTCATTAAGATTCCATTGGTTGAAATCAAAAGAGATAAATCATGATAGGATTTTGGAGGATGTCTGCCGGCCATTTTGACCACATGGACAAATATTTTTATAATATGTTGATGAATGTAGCCATCATATTCAGAATCTTTTTTAAGGGAATCATATCCTGCAATATTTGCTCTGATCACAATTGAACAAAATTTAGCAACTGGACATCAGTTATCACATTCGCTCCTAACACTTGTCTCCAGTATTAAATGAGCTTGGGTCAGTTATTAATGAGTTCAATTCTATGCAATTGGAAAGTTACCTTCCACTTCACAAACAAGCTGTCCTGATAAAAATTATATCCAAAACCTCTATAAGCAGCATTAGAGAAGCTCAATGCAACATTGGTCTTTTACCACTTTTTTTTACTATATTTTACAAGTTTGTGATAGATTTGCTACTAGATTTTAAAGCTATGAAAGTCTAGTAGCATTTCTGTACTGAAATACAATAAACATTGTGTCATATGTATAATAATACCGTAATCTATAGTGAAATCTATTAAGTAATAATAGTGAATACCAAATAAAATCAATATCAACTGAAATACTAGTCTCTCTCATTCTCTCTTTGGTGTTCCATATCTTTCATCAGCTTAGGGCATAATGACAAATTAAAATTTCAATCCAAAACCTCCATAGTTCTGAATCATTTTCTAATGAAGTTGTCTTATGATCTGTACCAATTCTGAGCCTAGAGCGATACGACAAATGTCAAATTAATTTTAAAGTAGCCAAGCCTCAAATGATGTTAGCAATATTCAAATTAATGGCATTAAAGTTCAAAATTTTCTAATATAATCTGATATTTTACCAATCACCGATGCCATCAGGTGCCTACCTGAACAGTCAGAACTTCATATTTACAATAACTGTATAATCTTAGCTGAAAGACCTCATAAAACTTGAATAGTAATATTGATTTCAATGTGATTTCCAGATAATTTCTTTCAGAAGACAAGAACAGTCGTCAGTGAGGTGGAAATTCTAACCATAAAGAGGTTTATAACAGAACTATTCCATTTCACTTTATTTCTTACATCAGACAATTTACCCGTCTTTATCGTCTCAGAAAATTGGATTTCACGAAGGAGAATAAATCAGATATATTTCATCTTTTGTTTTCAAATTTCATGATTTTCTTCATAAAAATCTTATTATCCATAAGGGAATATTTTGTCCAAATGTGAAAAAAGGTCAATTTGAACCATTTTTTGAATAAGATCATATCATACCTTATTGGTTATATTACACATGCACATATTATCATTTTGAAATTTTCTTTTACAGATAGTGATTTCGGGTCAAATTTTGTACCTTTTTCATGAAAATATTTAGGATTTCAATGCAATGCAACTTACAAAACTTCAAATTTTATTAGTGCAAGACTACGACTATCATTTTGAAGCTGATATTTTGATTATAATATACAAGAAAGAAAGACATAAGGACATAATTAGACTAAAATCATGTTAATATATATATACTAAAGAAACATAACCTATTTTTTACAAAAATATACTGTTTTTGACTATCATTACTATTTTGAACTGATATTCTGATTCCAATATCAAAATTTGATTAACGGACAAAAGTCAGATAGTAATAGACTGAAATTGTGTCAGAAAACATCGTTAGTAGTTTATAGTCGAGTAGGAAAAATACCAATACTATTTGACCTACTATCATCTACTCATCTTCATTATTGATTTTTATAGACTGACAGAGAGCACAAATACAATCTGGCGGATGACAAGATGACACGACAGAAGTGTAGGAGGAAGGGAAATAATGACAACTCAACAACTTGTTTGTTGCTTCTTGAAGTGAACAGGATGGAGTGAATGGAGTTTTACACCCTCAATTTTGTACAGTCCCATTGGGCGAATGAAATGAAATTGAGTTACATGTCTTGCTTTCTATACATTATAGTACCATTGACATGAAATAGAGCTTTCTATTCTACTTTTCTGTATCTTTTGCAATTTAATTAACAAATGAAATAGAGCTTTCCATCCTACTTTTCTGTACCTTATTGCAAAAGAAATGAAATGAGAGTCCTAAACCCTACTTCTCTGGCAGATAGCAAGATGACAGATACACAATGTTAGAGGGAGGTGAATGATGGCAAATGGATGCCGAGAAAGAATCAGAATTGTATGAGTTTCTAAGAGAGAACAATTTCTGAGATTCCAGAAAAACAACTTGAAGCTCTTTGCCCTTCAAGACAGAATTAAACTGACCTATAACAGTTAACAATAACAAGTCCAGACTGCTCCAAGATACAAAGATTTCACTATGTCTAATCCAGTCCTTTGTCTTGTTAATTGTCTTGGCATAGATCTTTCAAGGATTATCTGTACCCACTTAAAGATGGTTCAAGTGGAATAATGAGGAAAGACCATATATTTAGTACCGTCTACCTCTAGGTCAACTGGAATAATGAGAAAAGAGGACTTATCCAGTACCGTTTATAGCTGCGTCTACTACAATAATGAGGAATAATGAAGAAATATGACTTCTTCAGTACACATTTGGAGTTGGGTTGACTGGAATAATGAGGAATGATGACTTATCCAGTACCCACTTTACAGCTGGGTCGACTGAAATAATGAGGAAAGACAACTTTTTCAGTACACATTTGAAGTTGGGTTGACTGGAATAACAAAGAAAGATGACTTATTCAGAAAAATTCATCTGTGCCAACTGGAATAATGAGAGAAGATGACTTTTCCAGTACCCAATCACATAAAATAGACTGGAATAATAAAAAAAAAATGATCTATTCAACGTTACCAGACTTTCACACACTGTCAATTGCAAATTCTAAACTCTCTGATAAATTATATGAGTTTAAATATAAAATTAACTGGAGAAAGGCTACTGTCTACATCATTCAGATATGATGGATGACATTTTGAGGGTAGACTGACGTTTAACAACAGTCTGATGTCATTGGAGAAGTTCTGGAATTATTGCTAATAATCTAATATCTCAAGGGGGGTAATTTTAATAAAATTAGAATATTTTAACACCAAGTCTGCAGTATTATTGTTTATCAGCGACTCTGATTTTGTTGTACTGGGATTTTTCAAGCCTTATACATTATGAATTTCTGACAAATTTCAAGCATTAAATCCCAAAGGAAAGCTAGTTCTTCAATAACAAGTGAGAAAATCTGAATAATATAACGCCAATTCAGCTTTTTAAAATTTTAAGCCAGTTAAAAATGGAAATGTATCTTTCAGTATTGGACTTGGCAAGAAGCTATGTCATTGGTATGTTATTGGATTGATGAAATGAAATGGGGTTTCCTGCTACTTTGTTCCTTATTTGGCTACTAAATGATTTTTCATATCAATTTTTCATATCCTAGTACATGAGAGAAGGGAGAAAAAAGGAGTATTACATCAATTTTGCCTACACCTTATATTGATGAAACACTGTTCTCTTCAAATTCTTTCTATCAAACTAAGAGGCAGAATTGACAAAGAAACAATAATATGCTCTAAATAGAGTGCACAAATGGATTGATTTAAGTCAAATGGTGTGACAAAAGGCTCTTACAAAAGTTAAGAGTTTGCACATCACATGATACTAACTTCATTGACCATCTCTGCTATTTGTTAACAGCGCATCTCACTAGTTCCTATTATTTGTAGCCCAGAGAAAATTCAAGATGGTTGCTAGCACCACCTGTAAACAATTCCGTCTGCTTGACAACGTCTAGTTTTTAACATAAAGTGCCATACACATGGCCATTTTAACTATTTTTTGTTTCTCTTTAAAAAATCTGGCATCAAATAGAGCCTACCATATTTGTTTAGACAGATGTGTCTGGAATGTTCCAACACTGAAATTCTTGTACTGTTACCTTTATAGGCTGTAGAACAATTTCAATAGAAAGGATCAGCTCCCTCATAAAATGGCACCCATTGCCTCATGAGTACAATTAGGACAGACTTTTGTACTGAATACAGTGTTTTCTATCACATCACTGTCCCCTCAAATTTGACGAGCCTTCATCTATCTTTTATCCTTAACATTGACAAGACTTGACATCCATATCTTTGATCTTGGTTTGTACTCTGCGATAAAAAGTATCATAAAAATCATAAAATCTGAAAAAAATCCCCTTTAAAATACTCAAAGGAGAGAATCAGACCATTAACTACTTGGTACGCTTTTTTGGGTCTTTTGATCAGTTTAAAAAATTAATAGGTGTTTGATAAGTATTCAGCCATACATGTAAATTCATCATGTGATGAAGGGCCTTTATGAGAACTTCACATAAAATCACTTTAGCATTATCTTCATATGATTGAACAAACACTCAATAATATTACACATAAAAATGTCACCTCTTATGGAAGTTGCTCTGATCCATTTTTGTACCGGTATCCCTAGTTTTTGAAAATTTTGTCTAGCTGTTGGCATCTTTAAATCAAAGCTGAACCATAATGGAGTCCATCAAGACATGACCCGATATTCTAGATATACAGTAGAGAGGAAGGGAAAGTCTACCTTGGCTAGGTTTTTCATGAATGCAGCCCCAGGTTTGTGAACATAAAATTAGTTCTATGATCAAATAAAGTAAGTTTATAGAAGTTTGTTATATTATGATCATGAACATCCATTAAAATCTTATAAAATTGAGATAAAATCTATTTTATTGTATATTATTTATCATACATGGCTGATAAAGATTTTGTCCTCAGGGGTAAAGGTAACAATATCTCAGGGATATCATTGATGATTATCAGGGTCTTGTCCATTTTGATGACTGATTTTATGAATGGGCATAGGTATAAGACTAATGACTGAAAACCGTAGCTATTCTACGGTCAAAGTAGGCCTACTTAGTAGTAACCTACAAGATAACAAGCAAAATGCTAGTATTTTATGACTATAATAGATATGAAAAAGATTTTTAAAGGTTTTCTAAATTTTTCATGTATATCAGGGACATTGATAGCATGAATTTGCACAATTCAAATTTTCAGTCAGGTGTCTGTGTTTCCTGCAATTCCATGAAAAAAAGAAGTGTTTGATGACGTCACTAATTGCAAAATATGCTTCAATAAGGCCCTTTAGGATTAATGAAGTCACACTAAGTTTTAGTGGAATGGCAGGCACCGCAGATGTCTTATTGAAAATTTTGATGGTGCAAATTGTTGCTATCACATACAAAATTTAGAAAACCTCTTTATAATCGCTTTAATATACAATATTCTGAACTAGATCTAGATAAACTACAAACCATCTAAATTTACAAATTGAAATATCAGCTTATACTCAACCGAGACAAGGCAACGCATTAATAATTTACACAATACTGACTGGTAGATGAATGGAAAAATGAAGAAAATCGTTAAATTACGAGAAAACATTAGAATTAAGGTCATTCTGTTGTTTTAAAACTATAATATTAAAACTCATAAATTATCATTCTCCGTTAAATTCTGACTACCGTGAAATCAAATTCTAAATTGTTGAACTGATTGTCAACCAACACCATTTAATGCTTTTATTTCCATCATCAAAATAAAATTGAATTTTACATACTGCCCTGAGAGAATAAAGATAGGCAACATCTTGCAGTGTGCAATGAGGAAAAAAAAACCCACTTCAATTTAAATCTGTCAAGGGAATCTTATATACACAGCCTGGAACACACAGGGTTCCAGTTGGTTTGTCATATAACAACTTAATGTTTCATACTATATCTAAGTTATGTGATGACTATATTCTATAACATTTGGGATGTTTAGGTGTTTTATAAAATATGTCCCTTCATAGAATGATAAAAATCCTATGGTAAGAATTTGTCATAAGTAAGTGTAGAATTTTACATTCAGAAATACCATATCGGTAATTATGACAAAATGTCCATTTTTTAAAAAATGATAAAGGCTTACCTGGTTGAGATATCTTGGATTTGGATTTGGATCCAAGTTTTGACTGAGTTCTCTCACTAGGTTTAAAAAACTTCTTTTTTTCTTTTTCCGATTTTTCCTTCACTTTCTCTTTTTCCTTTTTCAATTTCTTCTGGCGTTCTTTTTCTTTTGCTTCTTCAACTTTTTGACGTCTGATCTCTTCCATTTTTTCTCTATCCTTTGTTTTTTCATCTTTCACTTTTGATTTTTCGCTTTTTGATTTTGCTTTCTCCACATCCTTTGATTTGTCTGTCTTTTTACCACCGAATAATTTAGGCCGAACAGATGGAGATTTGCTTGTGGAGGCTTCAGATTTTGGCTTTTCTCCCTCAGCTCCATTTTTCAAAACTGGAATCCTACCCTTGCTTTGTGACTTAATCATTTTGAAACTTTTTCACCACACTCCCAATTCTGAACAACAAATTCAAGTCATACCTTTTAGTAATTTGTTTCAAAATTTCTATAGCTTTAAGCCATTTTCAGAAATTCAGTTCCATAGCAGTTACACAAATTACAGAAATCTATGAAATTTTTAGGCACCAAAAAAGGTCTATAAAATTTGATTATTTTGTTAAAATAATATCCCAAAATAACCACAACCACAAATTCAGAACAATAAAATTTCAATTTGAAATTAAAATCCATAAATTTGTCTTAAATTATTGCATTATTAAATAATTTAATTTCGTTAAAACTTGATGCTACGCTGTGAATGGGCATCTCAACACCATATGTTAATTTGATTAGGTTTATCAACTTGACAGAACTTTCAGAGAGTTCACAAAGTTAAAATGTTAATGTAATATATATACTTTCTATCGCGCTCAGTTCACAAGAATCCAAAATAATTCACCTTAAAAACGGCTAAATAATATCACTTTTGGTTTTAAAACTTAAAGATTAAAATATAAAATTCAACCCATGCCCTGAAGTCAAGAACTATTAACAAAGGTGTAAAGCACAACCATAAATTTCATAAAAACAAAGACACAGTGATAGAAAGATAAATGTGTTGCTGTTTACATAAACAACCAAATATTGTTAAAATGTTACAATAATTGTTCAAAACACAACCATCAAATCTAAACTCTCCTCTAACATGAAAAAAATATATTGTTCAAAACATAACCATCTCTTATCGGTGAACACAGCTTAAAGATCTTGTTCAAAACACAACCATTCTCAAAGAATATAGAACCATGAACAAGCTAGCCGCAATAACACTTTTGTTCAAAACACAACAATTGATATGTAAAGTTCACTTGAAAAAACAAATTCAATTTTGTTAAAAACACAACCGTAAGTCATCACAATTATTAATCATCACAACCACAACATTCTTTATTCAATATATATTCTATTTTTACTATTCCAATTTCATACCTTGTTTCTAGATCACAACATGCACAATACAATTTCTGTTTCACAACACAATTTGTTGATATTGCACTGAAAAAATATTACATCATATTTGCACAGTATCACAAGCCTTTTAAAATACAGTTCCTATAACAGCATTGGCTTTTTACTTTAGTACACTCATTACACAAAGACTTGGCACTGTAATCTGGATGATTTCTTTAAAGTCACAACCTCTTGTTTTGATTTCCTGATAATTTGCTATAAACAAGACTTTTCATTCCATTCAATGCGAAGACATACTGGTGTCATCTTAGAAAATTCATCTTAAGACCTGAAAAGATACAGAAAGGAAATATCATTTAATAATAGCATAATTATAGCAATGCCGTTGTCAAAAATTACTCCATGGCACAATGCATGGTGGTGCCTATCTTCATCAGTCCAATCTGAATTAGAAAGGTAAAACAACCAACTATTACAGGTTGAAATATAAAATCTAATTTAAACAATTTCATAGTTGTCTAAATATTTGCTTTAATACCATATTACTTTCAGAATTACAATTGGGTTTCTTGTACATATACAATTAAATATAAATGCAAGGAAATTGTGATCCTATCATGTCTTGACCTCATCTATTTGGTCCTTTTTTTTTTGATACCTATACCCTGTGTAAACTTCTTGATTAACAAACACAGTAACTGGCTCAACTAGGAAAAGTATCAAGCAATATATCTTGTAAAATTGATTTCAAGTGTAAATTATCAATTTTAACAATAAAAAATACAATTTATACGATGCAAGATGAAAATTTCCATGTGTAATAAATCAGTAAAATTGAATATCACGATTTTATTTTGTGAAAACTGTCGAACATTTATATAAATTATTGTTCATCAATGATTAAAGTGGCTGTGTTTTGTGCAGGTCAGCTTCAAAATAACAAGAGCTGCAAATAAATAAACGAAGTACTAAAATTATCATTTCTCCTTTCTCCCATTGATCAGAATCTTTTGGATTTTGTTAATTCTTGACATAAATGATAAGTCAATAATGAGACTAATTAATCCTAAATTGATGAACAATACATAGAATTCATTAATTATTGGTTACTTTGGAAAAACATTTTGGTTTTCCAAACTAAGTTTGTAGTTTGCAAGTCAAAACGCACTGCCACTTTAAGTTTTTCCAGGATTTAAAAAAAAAAAGAAAGTGAAAGAATATGTGTTAAACAGCTTCATCATTGTTAAAAAGTAGTAAGGTCAGAGTGTCTTTACAAATCTTGATTCAATTTGTCACATCTCTAACTTGTCACAATCAAAAAAACATCATCTCATAACTTCACACAGAGTCATAAATACATTTGACAATTCACTTGACATGTTTTGTCATTGCCTTTTAGACACATGCTGTGTTTTATCTATTAAAGGGATATGGTTGCTAATGGAGCTCTCAAAGAATCTATATTACTTTTAAAAATTGAAATCTTAAGTCTAGCTCTTCAATAATTAAACAAATACATTATTAGTGTTCCTCCATGCCGTTAAACCTCAAACGAATTATGATATCTGTAATTATTAATTTGCATCCAAAATATACTAAGTAATACTACTTTCAAATAAAAACAAAGACACTTCTGGATAATCTTTAGTCAAGAAGATGTTATTGGGACTCTGTTCACATATCCCCTCTAAATGTTAATTTTGTTAAAATATCAAAAGTAAAATGCTTTGTTAAAATTCCCGATAAAAAAAAATCACTATCAACATTGCCTGACTAATAATATATCCTTTTCTTTTCTACATGTGGTATTTTTTATTTAATTTGATAATATTTAAATGTTATTTTAACTTTTCATACCACAATATTAAAAATATTATGGTATTAGTGTTAAATACTGAGTGTAAACACTCAGTCACCACGTGTGAATCATAGGTTACATTTAAAATAATACAACAGGACAAAAACATGTTACAAATGCCACCAATTTATACATTTGGTCATGATTAAGTAAAAAAAAATGTATATACAGAATAATGCATATTAAATTCAAAGAAATAGGTCATGTAGCTAAGGGATTTTGGTGATCCTCAATAACTAAAAACAGACAGGGAGCTCCATCCACAAGTTAAAAATATTACATGGAACTCTATGTGATTAACACAAGATTACAGCATTGTGAAAAATTCAAAGCACCTATCATATAAAATTAGCAACCTCTATGAAATGATCTCTTAAAGGGATTGTAAAGAGGTTCTCTAAACTTTTTATGTTTATGGGAATGCATCAAGTTGCACCATTCAAATTTTCTTTCCGATGTCTGTGGTTCTTGCAATTCCACTCTAACACGTTTTATGACGTCACTGCTAACTGCATATATATTAATGGTAGCTGCTGGTAGCTCCAGTCTAGTGTCATGTTACTTTTAGTGGAATTTCAAGAACAGACGTGTGAATCAAAATTGGAATGGTGCAACTTAATGCTATTAGTGTCCCTGATAAAACATAAAAAGTTTAGAAATTCTCTTTACAATCGCTTTAACACAATTCTTCAAATTTATCAAAAACTAAAGAAATCAAAATTGGTGATCAGAAATAGATCTGCAATATCGAAGGCTGAAATCAACTGACTCATAAATGAATTAAAAATATTAAGAAATAACAAGAGAAAATTAAATGAACGAACGAACGTCCTACTTTTCTGCACTATGTGAGCTAAGAGAAAACTGCATGTAGTTAAGAATATTAATAAAATATGTTATATATTTCCTGTAGCATCATGTTTTAAACTGTTAACACATTTCATAAAAAATATATTTATATATTTCATCTTTTCATAGCTTGATTTATTTATAAGCCAGTTTCCAAACAAAGCCTTTGATAAACAAGACCAATTTTCCTCTCATATGAAACTTGCTCTAATCTATGAAATAGATAAATACTCTTCCAAACTACTTGATGTCATTCAGCAACTGGGCTCGTCTTCTTGGCATGGTTTTCATAGAGTACACATAGATAATAATTTCTTTTTGGTATAAAGGTTATCAACTCAGCATCCCTTTCCAAGTACACATAGCTAATATTTGTTACTGGGCATATACATGAACAAATGGAGGTTGTCTGAATAAATCAATTTAAATCAATGTATTAGAATACTGAAAGATTTCTCAAAAATAGTTATATTTAGAAAATATTGAGATTAAAGACATAAATCTGAATGTATTGGACAAATTAGTCAAGCTGTGTTTTCAGAGATATAAATATTAACTTTAACAGTCTAGCTACACAGGGTGCAAGTTATAAAATTAGCCATCACTTATAACATCATGGAACCAACACCACAGGGACCATCATCTAAATTTTTCTCATTCAATATGCAGGATATAAAGTATTTGATTGATTCTTTCCAACCATAGTTCACTTGTAATACCATGCAGTGTGCAATGATGTAGAATGTGTGAAGACTTCGCCTCCAACATCAGCTGACAGGTCTATAGAACACAGGGCCTTTGTTTATTATTACAAACTATGATTTCACACTTTTTCTATTCAACCCCTCTGATCTGCATCAATGACAAGTGGTCATGCAATGTAGTGAGCAATGGGAAAAATGGATACAATAAAAGTAGAAAATATTTCCTACAGCTATGAACCAAAATCTCCAGAAAAAATTTTGTATTCTAAACAGATCAAATCTTATTTTATTTTAATAATATTTATGAATCTGGGTGGTCATCAAGAGTTTATCAAGTTATATTGTTTATATCTCAAACAGATTCAGAATCCTGCCAGCAAAATAGTTATCATCAAAATAGTTATCATCAATATCTTATATCATAATATAGCCTCACAGTCTCACACTGTGTCAAATGACTTTTGTTAGTTAGTCACTTTTATCAATAAGTTTCAGGTGCATTTCAGCACCAACATTGTAATGCTTGATTTTAAAACAAACAATCAATTTATTAAAAGAACAGATTCGTCACCCGTTTGATTAATCATACCTTAGTTTCAGAAACAA